TTGGAAAATACTGTCACTGTAATTACAACTTAGTGATGTGATGACTGAACTCAGCTTGTGTGGGCTGCCCAGGGTGACGAATCAACATCTACACCACACGCTCACTCATTGATTCACTCAATTATTCAATTCGCTTGCTTAACAAAGATTTCGTTGCAAACCAACTCTATGCAGGCACTTTTCTAAGGACCAGACACACAGGAGGCAAAGAGCACATATCTCGGACAACACGAAGCTCAGGTCTAGGGCGGAGAAAGGGTGTATCAAGCCTTAAATACGTAACTTGCAAATGACCTACAGAAGGAATTCCTGGATGAGGCCAGGGCCCAATAAACTATTATGTGTCTTCTACTCTTACGGACTTTGTAATCAGAAATAGGGTTTTTCTGTAAACTCAACCTAGGACGTAGAATTTCCGAGCTGACAAGGAAACAGAGGAAATAACCTAATCCACTGCTTTGTGTCAAAGGGGAGGTAACAGGGGCCCCGAGAATGTGATGTAGCCAGGGCCCCACGGAGTTTATGGGAAAGCCCACACTACCTGCTCCAGGCTTGCTGAGTCTCAGTCACTCGTTCTTTTGTTGTAACTCCCCAGGACAGCAGTCACAAGCTCCATCTTCAGAAGGCATAACATAGTGTAAAATGGCAATGTGAGTCTCAGGGTTTCTAGTAGGGAGCGGTGGGGACCAGGGCAAACTGGGAGGGGGACTGCTCAGAATGAATTTTTGATTCAGAATGAAACAGCAACAATCATGACCACAGCACAGCTCTGGGCCCACCAATGACACGCGTCGCGTTGCGAGCTGACGCGGGTCCTTGCAGGCACGGGTCCGGGCCCTCCCATCTCTGCCACACTCTCTTCCATTCATCACTGTGTTTCTGCCCTCACCTTCCGTTGGAGCATAATTCTTTTAAGTCATAACTAATAATAATCCTCTCCCACATGTCCCTATTTTCTCAGAACTGTTTTTTTCTCAGGTTGAAATACATTTTTTATGTGACCAAAGTAAAAAAGAAAACAAATATGAAGGGTTCATATTCATTTCTTTGATTTAATAATGTCTTAATATAACAACATAAAATTAATTTCCTATTTATCTAAAATTCATATCTTTAAATAGTCAAAAACTTAAATAATTTTCTATGAAATATTTCTAAAATATATTGACTTCCTTGTCTTCTTAAAAGACTATTTGAATATAATTTAGCCTTTCTTTGACATTAATAGTCAATATCTGAATAGAAATTGATCTGTAATACAGCTATTAAGAGATGCTGTCTACAGCTATTAAACTTCTGCATCTTTCATTTACTATTTCTTAAGTGACATCTCCCACCCAAATTTCCACAAGCACAGAATATGATTTTAAAGACCAGGCAAACCTCTTCCCACCCTTTCTGGCTTTTGTGAACTTCTGTTGAGTATTCATTATTTGTTTGTTTGTTTGTTTGTTTGTTTGTTTATAGTTGCCTTGGTTTATATGGTGTAGATAAGATTTTAACTTTGAATTTTTAAATCTCTTTCTTTTATAGTCCCCAAATCCAAGGCACAAAGTCCCAATTATATCTAATCCTTTCCTTCCATTTGAAGTGGACTCTACTCTTCAGGCCTTCTGGTTCAGAATCACCAGAAGTTCTTTTGTTAAAAAGTATGCTACCTCCTGCCCAGGCTGGTGTGGCTCAGTTGGCTGGAGCATCATCCTGTAGACCAAAAGTTCATAGGTCATGGGTTCGATTCCCAGTCAGGGTACACAGCCAGGTTGCCAGTTCAATCCCCAGTTGGCACACCTACAAGAGGGTAGCCAGTCAATATTTCTCTCTCTCTTTCCCTCTCTCTCTCTTTCTCCTTTCCTCTCTCTCTAATAAAAACAATGAAAAAAAAAGTCATCAGGTGAGAATAAAAATAAAAAAGTATGCTACCTCCTATGTACAAAAACCGGTAGCTTAAAAATTAGACCAAAAATATGCATTTTAAACAAATAACCTTAGTGATTCTTGTACATATCAAATTTCATGATCCACAGTCCTATCTTTTCCTTGTAACTGTGGTTCTCAAATCTTACTGCAAATTATTGTTACATAGAGTGCTTAAAACATGATGTTATACAATGCCTGAGCCCAAAGCCAAGGTGAGAGTCAGGACCGAAGCATCTGTGCTTATTTTATTTTACTTTTAAACAGATTGTTTAAGTGTATTTTATTTTTAGAGAGGGAAGGGAGCGAGAAAGAGAGGAAGAGAAACATCAACGTGTGGTTGCCTCTCATGTGCCCCCAGCTGGGGACCTAGCCTGCAACCCAGGCATGTGCCCTGACTGGGAATCAAACCGGTGACCCTTTGGTTCACAGGCCGGCACTCAATCCACTAAGCTACACCATCCAGGGCCTCTGCTTATTTTATTTATTCTCTACTTTTTATTTTGAGCTAATTGTAGATTCTATGCACCATTGTAAGAACAGCGCACAAAGATCCCACGCACCCGCACCTGGTTCCCCACGGGGACATCCCGCCCGGCACAGCACAGCAGCGCAGTCAGGCAGCTGACGTGGTTCGGTCCCACTCGGTTTGGTCCCACTCGGTTTGTCTAAGCTGGGCTCCTTTTTCACCTTTCTCTATTCCTTCCTTTGCTGATGCTTAGCTTTAACAAAGCTTTTTAAAAACTTTTATTTTAAAAAAATTTGAAGCCACTGAAAATGTATAAGAATATATAATATCCAAAACCCCTTCCCCTACATTTACCCACTGTTAGCACGTTGCCCCGTTCCCCTCTTCTCCCTTTGCTCTCCCTCAGCGTATGCAGCGCGCGCTCTTCACTCTGGCCCACGGATGCGTGGGAGCGGGCATCACGGCCCCTCGTGCCACACACTTCGGCACGTGTGCCCTGAGAACAAGGACCGTCTCTTGCACAATCACAACATAATTGCCAAATTCGGGAAATTTAACATCAATACGACATTACCTAATATAAATAGTTCATTTTTCACTTTGCTGAGTTTCCCAAAACCATCCTCAGATTTATAGCAAGTGTCCTCCCCAGGATCTCACACGGCACCATCGTGACCTCTTCACCCTGCTGCAGTTTGGAATAGCCTTCCTCTGCCTCTCACTCCACTGGCTTTTTGAAGACTCCTGGACAGTTGTCTTGTAGACTGTCCCTCAGTTCAGGTTTGTCTGGTTGTTTCCTCATTGAATTTCATTTTTGAAAAACATTTCCCATAAGTATTCCCAGCACTGAGGTCACAGGGGAAAGACCTGACAGAGGACAGGTCCTCTCAACCACTGTTTAAAACAGCTAAGTATGACTGATGGAGGGCACCTCTGAACACCTTACTCCCAGGCAGAATGTCACTAATGTGCACCACAGACTGTGCCCCTGTGGCGAGCTGGGCACTTGCAGAAGCACAAACACGTCTGTGCCGGCTTGTTGATCCCAGGGAACAGGAGTCACGGGGTCTGGGTTTCCAGGCTGGGCCCCTCAGAGGCCTGCGTGAGCAGCATCACTTCTCTGCTCTTCCGTTTCCTCAGACTACGACACGGGGTTAAAATGCCCAGCACTTAGCACACAGGGTTAATGCAGTACGGATGTTACACACTCAACACAGTGCTCGGCACTTAGTAAGTGCTCACTTAATGTGGGCCTTTACTATTGCTTTTTAAAAATAATGTCGGTATTTCTCTCAGCAATATTTTTTCTGATATATCTCCTCAAGCAAGGGAAACAAAAGAAAAAGTAAACAAATGGGACTACATCAAACTAAAAAGTTTTGCACAGTGAAGAAAAAACCATCAACAAACAGAAAGACAACCTACTGAATAGAAGAAGAGATTCGCCAATTATGTATCTGATGGGTGGTTAATATCCAAAATTTATAAAGAACTCATACAACTCTCAACACCAAAAAATATTCAGTTTTAGAAATGTGCAGAGCCCCTGAATAGAAATATAAAAAGATGCTCGACATCACTGGTCATCAGGGAGATGCAAATTAAAACCACAACAGGATATCACCTCACTCCTGACAGAACAGCCTGTCATCAGTGAATCCACACAAATAAGTGCCAGTGAGGGCGCAGAGCAAGGGAGCCCCAGGGAGCTGCCAGTGGGAGTGCAGACTGGTGCAGCCGCTGCGGGAAACAGGGTGGAGGGTCCTCAAAAAACTAAAAAGGGATCTGCCTTATAACCCAGCAATTCCACTTCTGAAAATACATCCAAAGAAGCCCCAAACACCAATTTGAAAGAATCTACACACCCCCATGTTCGTTGCAGCGTCACTTACAATAGTCAAGCTATAGGAGCAGCCCAAGTGCCCGTCAATGGACAAGTGGATAAAAAAGCCGTGGTGCGTACATGCTCAGTGGAATAAGTCAGAGAAAGGCAAACACCATACGGTTTCCCCTTATGTGGAATCCAAAGAACAAAATAAATGAACAAAGAAAACTGAAACAGGCTCATAGACACCATGAACATTCTGATGGTTAGGAGAGAGGAGGGGATGGTGAGGGACAGGTGAAAAAGGTGAAGGGAACCAGAAGCACCAACTGGCAGGTACAGAACAGCCGTGGGGATGTGAAGTCCAGCACAAGGAACACAGTCAGTCACACTGTAATAACTGTGTGTGGTGCCCGGGGGATGCTAGAAACACTGGGGGGATCACTTTGTAAAGTCATATCATTGTCTAACCACTATGATATACATCTAAAACTAATATAAAATAATATTTAATGTGAACTGTTATTGAAAAACAATTTTTAAATCTGTTTTTTATATCAAAAAGAAAATAAATAAATAAAAACAATGTAATTAAGCTACATCTCTCCTGTGTTTTTTTTAATCTTCTGGTGGATTAGCCAGAGGTTTCTTGTTTAAGTCAAATCCCATCATCTGTAGTGTTGCCAAGTATAAACAACAAGTCTCTCGTGGCCCCAAATCCTGTGACCCCACTGCTCGGCTGTGGAGAAGACCCTGGCCCTTCATGGTTATGATGCAGAAAAGCACTCTTACCATTACATCCTGAATAGTTAAGAGAATCCTCGCTTTGTCCATGCCGCTGGGAGGGGCAGGGTGTCCATGTGCCCTCTGAAGGGAGAAGCGGAAATCGCAGGGTGTGCTGCTGCTGGGCGGTCTGGAGTCCTGGGGATGAGCAGAGAGCGGGACGTAGTGAGGGCAACTTCTGTCCCCACAGACGTGCGGCCCCTGCCCCCAGCCTCCCTCCTCAGTAAGCGGGTCTCTGCGCCCGCTCCCACAGCCGACCGATCAGACTCCTCCTGGCCGAACCTGTACCACTGCAGAACACAGCCAGCAAGCGGACCAGGACTCGACCTTGGGCCACCAACTCCCCAGACAGTGCACGCAGCGGAGTGAGGACCGGGAAGAAAGATGGCCACACATGCTGAGTGAACAATGTGGGATTACCAAACAGTATGAATGGTATAGTCCCACATATGTGCAAATAGCACTAAAAGGAAAGAAAAAAGGCACTCGCTCAAAGGTTATTTATGATGATCTGAAACAGAGGAGCCCAAGCGACGGGACTGCCCTAAAAATGACCCCTCATTCGTTCAGGTCTCACCCTCGAAATCAGCGGACACTGCGGGGCCTCGCTGAGGAGCTCCGTGGGCACGAGCTCCTCACAGCGGGGGCTCAGCCGGAGCGGCCGGTGATGGCACCACTGCCTACACCCACCGAGTGCCAACGGGGGGGTAAGCCATCACGGGCCATGGCCGACCACACGCAGACCTGCTGGTGACACACGGGTTGTGACAGGTCTTTAGGTTGTTGACATGCACCAGCTAACGACTTTAGAGCACTGGATGATGGAGAAACTCAGAAGAGGCATTCCAGAAGGTGTCAGGCGGTCAAGTCTTCCTATCGCCTGTCACACTCTCAGGGGCTGATAAGATAACTAATCTTGGCAAATACCACTCACTCATCAGGAAAGGGCCAGAACACTCCAGATAACAATCTCCTCTTGGACCTAATGGTATGCACAGTTTTAAGTCTGGATGTTTGTGTAACTACCTATTCACAGTAACATCTCTGGGGCAGTGAGATTATGAAAGGACTTTTATTTCCTTTGTATCATTTGAACTTTTCATATTGATCATGCAATATCAGGGAAAAATGATATGTCAATAATATTAGAACAAAAACGTACATTTTGTTTATTCCTGATACTTAAGTGGAGCCAATGTCATTTCAGTGGAGCCTCCTCACCCACTGACTGCATCCCTGGCCTGAGGAGAGCCAGCAGGACGAAGACCCAGCGCCAGGCGAACCTCTCTGGAAGAGGTGCCCTCCTTTCTCTGGAGTTGCTAAACTGAAACTCAAACCAACCAACCAACCTACCACACATTCCCTCCGACTCAAAGTAGAATCCCGCATCCTTACCACAGCTCTCAAGGCCCTGTGTGGTCTGAGCCTGGGTCACCTGTCCAGCCTCACCTCCTCTTCCTCGCCCCCTCGACCACCCACCTCCGGCCACCCTGGCCTCGGCCTTGGGGCCTCTGCGCCCGCCGCCCCCTGCACCTCTCCCAGTGGCTCACCCCTTAGCTTCCTGGAGGCCTCTGCTCACGAGTCTCCATCAAGGCCTTCCCACATCAGCTGGCAGACCCTGCCCAGCTTCCTCCAGGCCCTTCCTCACTTTGTTTCTCTGATATGCCCACCGCCTCCTGGTGTGGTATGTGCTGTTCACTGTCTGCTTCGCCATCAGGGTGAAGAATGGTGCCTGGACCTGTGCTGAGGGCTGCAGACATGGGAACACACACTGTCTAAGGGGGAGGCCGTGCCTCAACTCGGTCAACAATGTCTGTAAGAACGTGGTTCCCAAATCTTCTGATTTTCCAAGAGAAGCCCCGACTTCAGATTTTGACATAAAATTTCCTGATTCTTAAATGTCAGCTAGTAATTCACATCTTTTGAAAGTACAATGCAAGTCAACAGGGTGGCGGCCAACAGAACGCGCCGGCAGCACGCCAGTCTGCGACCTCAGAGCCACCGAGAAATTGAAGTTCACTGAGGCTTTGATTGTGGGTGAAGGGCTGGTGTATTTCAACAGCGAGGGTCAGATGGAAAGCATACACACAAACATGCCTCTCCTGCTGCTCATTTCAGGCTGCACTTGCAAACACTGGGAGGTGGCTGAGCACATTTAACCACGCACTTTTTTTCCTCTGCCTGTTTAGATTGCATCTCTTATGGCTTCGGCCTCTGCCGAGAACTGGTGCTGCCGTTTCACTCTCACTTCGCAGGAAAATAACTCCGTGGGGAAACTGACTAGGAAGGCTTATGGAGTGCCCCCTCAAGAAGAGGAGAAAAAGGAAGAAATACAATCAAGCACACACAGCGGAGAAAATTCAGTGCTGGTGGAGCGGGGCATTGGCGATTCCAAGCACGCACGCACAGGAATGCTAATGGGCTTAATAGCTTGTGAGGGACAGCCTGAGTTTCAGGGAGCCTGGGAGCCTGCACAGGACGGAATGCCTGCTCGTGTTGCAGGGGACACCAAATGGTCAAAGGAGAAGGAGAAACTGCCATGCCTCTTGCTTCAAGGGCACGTGCGCATTCTGTGCATGGGCTTGGGCGGGGACAGTGACAGACTGAAAGTGGCCATAAGCCAGCCTCCCAGGCGAGGAGGAACTGATGGCCGTTTGCACCGACTGCTCCTGAGCATGGGATTGTTTGAATTATTCAGAAGCGAGTGAGTGCGTATTGGCACTGTGTGTTGCGTGTGTTGTATGGGAGATAGACGCTAAAGGCAATGAAGTCCACAATTTTGCTCACTGTAAAATCCCATTTCTGGGGATGGGGAAGGGAAACCAGGTCATTGGGTCATCCCTTAGGAGAGGACTCTTTCCGCAGGAAGGAAGGAGTAAACAACAGAAGGTGCCCCGACAGCGGCTGCAGCACTTAGTGGAAGCCACTCCTACCTGCGGATGGCCCCCAGAAGCGTCCTTTGTGTTGCCAGTCACGCTCTCCCACGGCTCAGCGTCTTCAGAGTAGTCCAGGGGAGGTTCGATGTGCAGCCGTGAGCCAGCTTCTGTTCTGATCTGCACAGATTTCTGTACACAGAAATTCAGACCGTTTCAGGCACGGTGGAACAAATACCCTGACCCCTCTGGAGGCAAGCGCGCTTGGGGCTGACAACGAGGCGTGTGCCTGTGCACAGCCCGGTCCTGCGTCCCCACACTGGCCCGGCATCATCCCACGCAGGCCAGCCCAGACGGCCCAGGCCACCTCCGCTCAGAAGTCTTGACCAGTTCCAACTGCCCAAAGTGTGCTCCATAGAATTTTTTAGTAACTTTTTGGCTTGAAATAACTTACCCATATAATTTTAGCAGGTGTTAAGCTTCTCTGATAGCTTTGTGATCAAATGTTTAAAATTTTTCTTCAAGACTTCTCTGGGCCTTTAATACGCCCCCTCCCCCACCTGCCACACACACCTGTGGACATCCTAAAACAAAACGCAGCGTGCGCCATTCCTCACACTGTCTGGGCCATGGAAAGCGTGCGTGGTGGGGCCTCTCCTCTTCCCAGCATTCCTGGGATCATTCTTCGGGAAACCCACTCCTGGTGGCCTGGTGTGGCAGGCTGTGGGCTGTCCCCCAGGGTCTGTTTCTCCTTCCTCTCCTGCACCAGGGGGACCATGTGGACACGTCCTGGCCAGTGAGGTGTGGGGGGAAGGGCTGTGTGCGTCTTTGAGGTGGGCCCCTGAAGGGAAGGGGACGATGGCCCCTGCCCGGCTGCAGCGTAGAGGTGGTGGTGAGCTGCCGAGGACTGTGCGAGGAAGCGCCGTGTGGAGGTGGTAAAGCCATAGAGGAGCTGGTTCCTCCGTGACCTCTCAAAGCAGGATGCCTGCTCACCACTGACCTGTCCTGTCAGACACTAACTTTCATGTTGTTCAAGCCACTGCTGTTTGGGCCTCCCTGTCTTAGCCGCCAAGCCTGTACCCTGAGCAGTGCGCCTGGCACGCTAAGTCCTCTACAGCCAGTCCCCCATCTATCTCCCTATGTTGCCTCCTGCACATATAGTCATGGCCCTGACAGCTGAGCCCAACAGAACTGCTTTCTATATCCCAAGTGCACGCAGGTTTTTAGTTCAGCATCTGTTCCCCGTCCTTCCGGGAGCATCTCTACCATTTTCCTTTGAGGCCCATCCCCTCCCTGCCCAGTCCACATGAGGCCCAAGGGCAGATGGTGACTCGGGTCTGGTCAGTCAGCCCCACCCTACACCCTGGCCAGGGTTCAGGGACGGGCATGGACCTAAGGTAGCCAATGAGTAGCCCTGGGATTCCTGCTGGAGCTGTGGGGAGAAGGTGCTCCCTTCCAACAGGTGTGCTGAGCCAAGGGGGGCGGGTGTACCGGGAGCTGCCGGAGACCATCCTGCCCCTGACACAGAGACAAGACAGAGAGCAGGGAGACTGGAGCCAAGTCCCGATGGCTTTATTTAGACCCCTGGGTCCAGTCACACTGGAAACAAGACACTGCTGCAGCTGTCTCCTTTTCGCTCAGCCAGTGCAAGTAGGGTTTGTGTTATTTGTGACAGAATCCTGACCCTTGACTGTGCCCTAACCCTCCCACTGCTGTACCTTCGCTCATGTTGGTGTCCCAACCTTAATGCCATTCTCCCAAATCTTCTCCATGTGCCAAACCGCACCTGCGCTGGGGAGGCACTCTGACTACCCAGTGACATTCCACTGCCCTCCCCATGCTTACTAACAAAACCCCGATTCGCTGAGACGGCCACGTGCCCCTTTAAGATGAGCACATGCTGGAGGCCCCTGCAGCTCGGGATGGCCGTGTGAGCCAGATGTGAGTGGCCGGAAGTCTGCATGTGGATACAGCTGCTGAGAAAGCCACTGTTTTCCTGCTGACCAGGACTCACTCAGTGACACAGGACTTGGCCCTTTATCCTTCTACCCATCTTCCTAATGGAATGTGGACGGGGTGTTCCATTGCAGAGCAGCCATCCCATGGGAATAAGGAACAGAGCCACACCCGAAGGGTGGCCCCATGGAAAACCAGAAGGAGCTTGAGTCCCTGGCTGCTTCCAAATGCCTTGTTCCTGTGAGAGAAATACAACTGTCTCATGCCCCAGGGACCGGGGTCCGCTACCTGCAGCTGAGCTGAGGCCTGGCTGCGAACGGCCCACTAGGCACTTGTCACGTTTCTGTGGCTGTATCAGAGTTGCTCGTGCGTGGTGAAGGGCCTGGGCTCTAAACACAGGCAGACCAGTTCGACTCCCGGAACTCTGGGGCTTATTTCCTAGGCCACCCTGGGCAAGTCACATGACCTCCCCAAGCACTGCTTTCCACATCCACTAAGGTGGCACTGATGGCACCTTTGTCAGAGCTGCCGTGAGGACAACTTGCCCCCCCCCTCGCCAAGTTCATGCTTTATCCCCTGTGGACCGAAGAAACAAGCCACCTGTGTCACTCGGTAGTCGAGCACATGCACTGCCGCCCACCCCAGTGCTGGGGTCAGAGTGGGCTGTGCTGGACATCGTGGCAGGGCCAGGGCCAGCGAGGTGCCCAGGGAGCTACGGTGAAGGTGGTGCTCCCTCCCAGCGCACAAACGCAAGAGGGAGGGTCTCCTTAAACGTCCACCCTGGGCCTCACCCTAGTGCAGTCCTGGCACTGAGCAAAGAAAGAGGTCCACCAACCCACGTGTCCTGAATCTACTCCCCAGGTGAGGGATAGTGATTTAGACCGTGCATTTCCCCTCATACCCTGGCAGTGTTAGAACCATGCCCACGGTAAGACCCAGCTTCCCCACAGGGCTGATGAACTTAGCCATCGGCTTGACAAAGCAGAACATGAGGCCGGAGCTGCGGTGCCCTGGGGGATACTCAGCAGTTCGGACATGTCCGCGCCACCCCTCAGCCCCGTCCGCGCTCTCACGCCAGGTGCTGTTTCATTCAGTGTGACTGGTCAGCACTCCACGTGCCCTGGGCGAGTTTGTTTGCTCTTTCAGTCAGCCTCACGGTGATCCTGGGGAAACCTGAGCACAAGCCTCTGAGCCGCTGGCCCAAGGTCGCACCGCTGGGGGACAACAGAGGCTGGATTGGAGCCCCAGCAGTACAGCTCCAGAGACCAGTGCTGAGCCAAAGCTTCCTTTAAAAAGTAAATATTTTGGGCTTTGCCAGCCATAGGGTCTGTGTCAAATATTCAGCTGTCCCATTACAGCCTAAAAGCAGCCATGGATGATGCCTAAACAAATGGGCACGGCTGTGAACCATCAGTGAAGGGACAGAAACTGGGACACATGGGAAATGACTAAACGAGAAAAAATACTATTTGCGAAAACAGGCTGTGGCCAGATTTGGCTCAGGGGCTGGTGTTTGCTGACCAACCAGCGTTCTAACCCACCACACTATACACTAGTGCTTCCTCATCCACAGGGGATAAACCCCAAGACCTCCGCAGATGCCCGAAACTGCACACAGTACCGAACCCTATGTGCACTATGTGTTTTTCTATACATGCACACCTGCGATAAAGTTTAACTCAGAAACGCGGCACAGTGGGAGCTTTACAACAGTAACTGATGCTAAAACAGAACAATTATAACAACGTCCTGTAGTAAAAGCTATGTGAATGTGGCACCATTAAGTCAAACAAGGGCCACTCGAACACGAGTGCTTGTGATGCACCCGGTCTGCCAGCCGAGAGGGCCACTGAGGCCTGGCAGGCAGGCGGTGTGTGCGGCACGGAGACTCCGGACAGCAGGGTGGCCCATGTCACGCGGAGGACGGCGCTAGACAGCGTGAGCTGTCAGCACGCTGCTCAAAACAGTGTGGTATTTAAAGTGTATGGCTTGTTTATTTCTGGAATTTTACATTTACTATTTTCAGACCACAGCTGAGCGTGCAGACACCTGAAGAGTAAGTGGGCCCAGCCTGTGCTACTACAGAGGCCCTTGGGGGAGGACGGAGGAAAACTAAAGAATTTCTGAGGACATCTAGCACTCAGAAAAGGAACCAGGCATGAGCCATAGATCATTCAAGGAAAAGGCCCTAGCGAGAGCAGCAGGGCCTGGGAAAGGCAGGCAGGGAGACACCCTATCAGGGAACAGGGGGTGGAAGAGGCACAGAAGCGAGTTGCCACAGGACACTGTCCTCCTCCAGAGAGCCCTCGCTTGGCAGTGCGCCCCGCTATTTCTGGAGCCACACGCTCTGCTCTGCCTTCCTCACGACCGTCAGCCTCGCTGCCTTGGGCTCGGGCTCTGAGTGTGGCCGCGCTGCCTCCCAGGCTTCGTCAGTGCGCTCCAGAGCATTGGCTCCTGTCAGCAGCAGGGCCCACGGAGGGCAGCACTACCCGGGATGCAAAAACCCGGGGCTTCCAGGCCAGGGGACCCCTGGGGGCTTTCCTGCCTAGGGCCAGGATGAAGCTGTAAAAGCTCCAAATTTCATCACAGATTGGGGTTTTCCATGATATTTTCAAGGAGAGCGTGCTCCTCCCTCCTTCCCAGGAACCGCTCAGTAGCTGCCCAAATGCTGAAGCCGGCACAAGAGAGAAGGGGGTGGGGAGCGGCACAGAGGGAGCCTCGCTGGGCAAGGGGCCCAGGCCTGGGACGCAGCCAGACCCCTCCACGGACTGCTGTTCCTCCGCCTAGAAAGGGAGGGTCTGAACGAGGGCCTCACTACTCCGGGTGCCGTCTCTGAAGCAGCAGCTCAGGCTTTCCCTGGAGGATTTGTGAGAAATGCAGAAGTTCAAGCCCCGTCTCAGAGCCAGGAACCAGAATCCCCATTTTAACAGGACCCTAGGTGATTTTTATGCACGTTAAAGTTTATATAGCATAACATCTAGGTGGTTCTGTGGTGGGTGCTGTTGTTTCTGCCTGTCCAGTGTGTGTTCCCCTGCCTTCTGATAAAAGCACGCTGCCCTGACCAGTGTGGCTCAGTTGGTGGCAGCACCACCCCGTAAACTGAAAGGTCACAGGTTTGATTCCCGGTTAGGACATGTGCCTGGGTTGCAAGTTTGGTCCCCGGTTGGGTGCATGTGAGAGGCAACCAATCAATGTTTCTCTCTTGCATCAATGTTTCTCTCCCTCTCTCTCTCTCT